AGGTTCTTGTGACTGACCTTGACCGCATTCGATAAAACGCTCAGTTCTTTGATTTGGGCGAGGTTTGACATTGTCCTTTTTTTATTACACACCCAGGTGTGAAGAACAGCAGACGGGGTAAACCCCATAGTCACGAGGACCTGCTGTTCAGTGGTTTGACATTGTCTGCACCTTCGGTTTGATTTCAATGGCCAGCCGTATATCGAGAAAAAAACATGGTATGGATCGAAGAAAGTGAGTCAAAACACAATGTCAAACCTCGCCCAAATCAAAGAACTGAGCGTTTTATCGAATGCGGTCAAGGTCAGTCACAAGAACCTTCCGTGTTTATCAGTCATCTGATTCACAGGTAAACGTGCTCACCGCTCTATACTCACCCACCCCCACCCCAAAAGCCACATACACACAAACATCCCAACCCCGAAACGCATTGTCGTGCTCCTTTCCGTAGTATGTGACATCAGTCGTACACATTTTGCACAAGACTCTGTGCCGTCCCAGTTATCACGTGACTGAGGCTAACTCAAGGTCTCTTTCAGTTCTGTGTTGAACATCGTAAACGTTCAACCCCGTTTTACGTCGTCCGCCACTGCCTCTTTTGTACCGAGACCGTTACATTCATGAGACCATAAACGTTCGTGGTGAGCACTGTTCAGTCTACAGTCGCTGGTTTGCCTTGGCAAGTGAAAAATGATGTCATTGTTTAAGAGACCCTATTACACCTTAGAGTGCTCCTTTTTGTTTCTCATTCGTCCGTTTGCTCATGGTGTCCGAGCTGTGACTGAACCGTGGATTCCATTGTCCCCGTGTGCGTGTTGGTGCGAAAAAGCCAACCAGATCATCGTCGGTGCATATTTCTGTTGAGAGTGGGACGATATTTTCCAGCACCATATGCCGGTGGGACACACATGGATGTGGGTAAACGATGGTTCCATCGAACGTTTTCACCCGGTACTGTGAAATGTACTATCTACAAAGCAAAATGACAGCTCAGATTGATATTGGGACGTCTTAAATCGCAAATGGTAGTCAATCGCACTCACTTCGCCTATTCGCACGGTTTTCCCCGTATGCCGTCTCCCTCCCAACTGACCGGCACGTCGCTTCCGTGCTTCTACGCGCACATTCACCCGTTCCCGATCAATATCGGTTAAATAGGCCAGACCAGTCTCTATCAGCTCCTTGATACATGGCTTTGTCCGCCCGCGTTTGTGGGGCGGGGCGGGATGAGGTGACCGAGGGACAAAGAATACAAAACAAAAAGAAAATTAGAAGCATATCGTTCTGGTGTCATCAAACAGGAGTCAGACATTCTCCACTTGTGCTTCGGGGGTCTAAATGCATGCAAGTCCTACAAACGGAAATTTTGGTCTGTGATAAAACGCTTTTATCAAAGATATTATACATGTAGGGCCTACGGGGCATGTTGAGGGGAAACGAAATTCTAATGACGAAAAGTGATAAAGTCGTCGCAGACTAATAACAGCGGCCCGTGCAATGAGGAAGGCTCCCAACAGATTCCATACAAAGACGCTTGTAGACAGTCTGATGATACTTTTGATGGTGTGTAAGACCATCAATACTAAAAGTTAAGATCATCAGTTTCGTATAGCCAGAACGCGTTCCTGGTTAGGACTGTGCAAAATGTACTGGTTACATTCTGCAACAGACAACAAAACTGCCTCCGAAAGCGTCGGTATGAATGGGGTAGGTGACTGGTCACCCTTCTCTTACACATATATGAGAACCTTGGATCATGGCTACATAATTCGAAAGACATCTAAACGGAACACACACACTTAGCGACCGTCACGGTATAGTGTTCCGCTGCTATACTTTTTACACACATTATTGTGCATAGATTAGAGGTGCAACACAGGTCAAAAGTTAAGTGTTCGCGGGTGTGAAACACACTGTTCTCGTGGATTCCTTTTTAATCATGGTTGTCCAACTCTAGAACAGGAGAGCAGTAAAAAATATACGTAAGCATGAGCAAGTCACTCAGTACTTGGAGTAGGCCGGTATCATATTGGACAATCATATTAGATGGAGATCAGCGTCGTATAAAGATAAAAGAATTCTGTTTATACAAAAATCGAATCAGTTCGAGAAATTTCGTGTTCTCACGTTTCCGTCCTTGATCGCGATCAACGTGAACGTTTCTTCAGAATTCGCCTTGGCTGTTTCCCTGTTCGAACACAGGTGGAACGTAGGTTCAATCACGTTTCTGCAACCAGATGTTGCAATCCCTCCCCCCCCCCCCCCCCCCCCCCCCCCCCCCCCCCCCCCNNNCTTGTTGCGGTTAGTAGCTTCTAACCCACCTACAACATCAAATAATAGCATTGTTTCTTCAATGGATTGGCTCAGAAAAAGCTGACCATCCACACGTCACCCGGTGTTGCAAACAAGATTATTGTGATAAAAATGCACTTCCTGGGTATGTGAATGAACTGACGAAAGACTACCGAATACGCGTGTCTGACTAGCGGTAAGTACCGTGAAACCGGTAGCGTGCTTCCGGGGAAATTTTGTTCAGCCACTCACATACTACTTATTATATGTACATATGGTGTCAACCACTATAGTGGTCGCAAATACACTGTCAAAAGTGGGCTTCTCAAGCCAGAATACTGTACCTGGTTTTTGTTTGATATGAGAACATCTTGCAAACGATGGTCCAGCTCGTTGAGAACGTCCTGGGGTATACGCTTTGCTTCTTTGAAATGCAGGGACGGAGGTCTAAGTGGGGGAAAACCATCGTTTTGTAAATATATAACTTCACAATATGCAGTAGGCAGGGCAAATGAACAACAACGACAAGAACAACAACAGGAATTATGCAGGAATAACTCGCTGCCGGTTCAATGAGACCATTCGCAACAAACTCGTAGAGAGAGAGAGTACTGTATTATGATGAGCACTCAACGAAACATTAACTATATTTCCTTCAACGGAGCATTCAATTGTATGTATGTCGAACGAGCATGCAATCAGGCACTGTCGACTTGAGATTCTTCAAACACTATTGTCGGGTAGAACGATAACGTGGAGAGATAGTAATTTCCCGCATCAGACAGATCGTACAGCATTCGTGCCACTTATGTCCATTCTGGGCGTCTCTAACAAGCGACGGTACATATCCCTTTGGACACAACCTCGAAGGGGCTATGTACCAACCGAAGCTAACTCTTTCATAGCCAGGTGACGGTCTGGCCGCTGTGACGTTTCTTCCAGCCTTTCCTAGCACGTATAAGCACAGCACAGAAATCTAATCAACGGGTAGACATATATACAAAACGTAACCAAATGGTCCAAGGAGGTCTAGCGTGATTACTCCCTTTAGAACACGCCCTGTAAACGATCACGGATATAACGTTACACATGGGTGCAAATCATGGAACGTTTTTCTTTTTATAAAGGCTATTGTACCATGATTTGTTGGGCACAAAGTCTGGCGTCAGACGTGTGGGCCGCGGGGGGGGGTGGGGTGGGGCAGACAGCTTATCCCACCCCACGGAAACCTTCATTCTCGCTCGGTAACTCAAAAAGTACTTTTCTGTTTTCGGAGAAGTGAGTTCATTCGGAATGAACAGGTTTTAGACAGACCCGGTCCAATCGGTGATTTTTGACAACCGAAACACCAATCAGCTTGTGGGGTTTCCTGATTGGTTCGATTCACTTGAAGTTACAACGGATTCAATGGAAGTTGAAAGGGTATAGACAGCTTATCGATGATTTCGTAAATTTTGCTTCCTATTGGGGCACGTCACAACAGAAAGTAGAAAAGTGGAGAAAACGTAGTGATCAACGGCAAACTCACGTTTGAGGGTAATTAAGATCACAAACCACGTTAAGAACAACGGATCGCGTGACGCGTTTGTTTAACGTATGTGACTTGGTTGGTTGTCGGATATTCGGACGCAAACAGATACCTAACCGAAGTGGGTAAACATCATCTGTGATCGCCTGTAGACTGTCAATACAATTCTGAGGGAAAAAGTGAAGATGAGACTATCGTAAGGGACTTACCACGGGTTGTGCTAGTCCATTAGCAGACACAATGAGTTCCGGAAACATAGACAACAAAACAAAAAGTTCTTCACGCTGTGCATCAATGGCAGCCCGCTGGCTCATGATCAATCCTGGACCAACACGATTTTACTGGTCCTAAAAGGCAAATTCACAATAGATAAGACAATGTCTGAATAGTACGTCTTGAACTTTTGTTGGTTTAAAGTCCAATGCACATTCAAAGCTTCTATACAATGGACAAATGTGACGTTTTACTCTGGATTAATCTTCATGCAAGATAGAGAAATTTTTAACCGATATATTATAAGTAGTAAAGGGCACGTTGCGTTTGCGCTGCTCACTGAGGTGGAAAGCTGATCTCTGGGTGGCAATCGATGGTAAAGCGCCTAAATGTTCCACTTTTCCGGTCTCTACCCAAACTATTAGAAACGTGATTCTGTAGTGTCAAACCGTTCACTGTCTGCGTGACAACTAAGTAAGCGTACGTGGTGACCAAGCAGGATAGTCAACCACAATTAAACGGAATCAGAATTCCAAGAGAAAGCAACGCCGTATGAAGATACTTCAATGTCAGTAGGATGAGGGTGGCATCATCATCATCGTACAGTGAAATACAGTAAGGCCAACACAGAGACAGTGTTGGTGGTGGCGTAGTGGTTTAGTCGCTGTCACCGGCATGCTCTGGACCGTTCGAGGTTCGAGCCCCGCCACCGACACCCAAATTGGGTGGTAGACAGCTTTGCTGTCGCCAGGTTCTATATCACGCCGACCTATCAGGGCCTTATGTGGTTCAACACTCCAAGTCACGCGGATCATGTTGCCAATTACCATTACTCAACGGTAGGTCTTTGTGACTATGGGGTCCGTCCCGTCTGCTGTTCATCACATACTGGTGTGAAGTAAAAAAAAAGCGAACTCCGTGACAGTAGAAGAAAAATCCACTCGCGGAATTCTGTAGTTTCACTGTGCTTCTAGAAAGATTGGCAACCTGCAAAACGCTTTTTCGCTTCACAGTGGAAGTGACCAGTGAGGTAAAGTTCAAACTATGCCTCGAATTAAGTAAGCAACAGATGTCACCGTACTCACTCGCAAGACTGAAACCAGAATCAATAAAATACAAGTCAAACAAGACTTGTATACGATAGCACTTTGATAGAGGAATAACCTTTGCTGGTTATAGTGCGTATCGCATGCTTAGAGAGATGGACTGCAGCTCCAGGGTGAAGAAAACCATATGAAGTTCAACAAATGGAGTACGAATAATTCAACATAACGACTAGGTTGAGTGGGCGGATCCTGTCTTCCAGGTTGGGGTCAAAAAGACCGATTGGTTGTTCAGGGAGAGTGAAGAAAATAGCAGCGAGTCAAAAACAACGGCTTTCTGATTATTATTTCATATCAGACCAGAGTTTCGTACTTCACTGGACAGCTGGGCAGCGTCAACCCATAAATTACTGTCCCGTACATGTTCCATTCATCCCATTGGGCTCAATAGGGGGATATCTGATACCAAACAGCAAACAACTCACTTAACTCAAACCTGTAGGCCTTGTATGACATGCTTCTGGAAGCGCCCCCAAGGGATGCCGCTCTCGCATTGAATTTACGCCCACTGTCTAGCAGGTCAGATCTTTGAACCAAAAGCTCAGGCTGGGGTTCCCAAGGAAAATTTCGGCGGAGTGTACCATGCACTTTGTTGTACTGAAAATAGTTTCTGAACTCCTTCCAGTGATAACGCAACTTTAAGCAAAAATGACCACGACAAATGGAAAAGTTNAAAAGACAACCATCCTCTATGTAACACTGTTGGACAACGGTCAAGTTGACAAGTAATCTAGACAGCAGGGAGAAAAACACATTGCTAGCTGTGGTCCGAAAGTTTGTTTGTTTACCCTCTAAAGGTAATGATGTATCAGTTCTCGACAAACGTCGGCTCAATGCGGCAATCAATCGAACGTACTGTGCGGCCAAGGTGGTCTTTATTGGGCAAACAAATCGAGTGCCGATGCCACCGAGAAAGGATCCCATCCCACAACCGCCAACACAAACGCATTCCACATCCTTATTTAGATAATGAATTCCAACTGTTGTTGTTGATAATCGTCAATACTGTTTAATCAACTTAGTAACATCCTGTTTTCACATGTTCACGTGTTCTAATTTCCCCTCTGTGCCTCATATCTACTGAAAGACACACAAACACATTAACACGTCATCCTCATCCATTTGCTAACCATTTTCACTCATCTGTATTCGGATTAAAAGAAAAAGGGTTGGTAAACTAATTACACTGTCTTGTGAAAAAGTTCCATAAATCTCGCATTTGAATTAGTTTGTCATCATACCCCCTCAAACACATATAATGTCCATTGGTAATTTGCATGAAGTAACTGATGATATGCGAAAGAAATATCTCTGCAGCAGAAATCTTGCATAACACTAATGGCCTTTGTCGAAGCCATCATTGTTAGCGACTTTAACCTACCACATATAGACTAAAGGTCTAAGGTGTGCACTCGGGAGTTAGCAGAATAGGACTAACTCAAATGACTGCATCAGAATGCTCTGTAGCGACATGTTAAGGAAAGTAACAGATGCAGGTTTGGTAATGCTCCGTTGCTGCTGGACCTAGTGATCACTACACACAAGTGATATCACGGCGCTACAGTCGCAACCACCTCTTGATAAAAGCGACCACGTCATCATATTGATCGAAGTGTGCATGCGGCAACTAGGGTGCCATCCAAGGTGATAAGAAATCCTGGCTGCATGGATCTAGTGAATCTTCGAACTAGGGTATTGGAGTTAGTCAGGGATGCTCCGGAAGGGGCAAGTGCAGAAGACTATTGGGTGTTAACTAGGGAGGCTCTCACTAGGCAGAAAACGAATTAGCTCCACTGAAACCCAGCCCACACAAAGATAAGTCGTTGTGGCGGTGGGCATCCACAACCAGGGTCATTAAACAACGAAAGAGGTGCTGGAAGAGCTTTGGGGTTTACGGAAATCAACAACCGTGAATTAATTGTGTAGAAATGAGGCAGTTACGCTAATACGAGAAGCCAAAAGGCAACGAGCTTCAGCTGGCCCAATGCGCCAAAAGCAAACCGAAGAAATACTATAGCTACGTTGAATCTACGGTGAGAGGTGGTATAGGGCGATTAGGCACAGGTGCTCAAGCAGTCATGAGCAGTCAGGGTAAAGCGGACGCCCTGGTCGGCTATTTTGGTAGTGTACAACGGATAGAGAATGGTATGCCAGAGACCTTGGAGATAGGAACATCAGCGCCCGAGGTTGGGGAGCTTCAGCTTTCGGAAGAGATAGTGCGCCAGCATCTGGAGGGTTAGTCATAAGAGTAGGCTGTACGATGCTGTATGATCTGTCTGTCGAAATCCCGTGCCCCTTAAGAAAAACGCAACATCAAACAACACAAAAAAATTGCAAAAGGTGTACGGTGAAACACAAAAAGAATTCTGTTATCTTGTATTTTCCAATGCTTAACTGTTTCACCCAATTCTCACTATGTTCTGTATCTTAATCCACCTATCCCCTTTCACTGTCATTGTTGTTATTGTTGTTGCGTTGGCACCATGCTTGTTTTC